CCGTCACACCTTTGTTCCAAAAACAAGCTGCCCAGCACATAGCATGGAAAAGGTTTAGAGTTCTCTATCCACAGGCATGCCACATGCCTTGCTGACTCATAAGGTGTATCCCCTAGTTCCTTTCAATGGGTTCATTGTACAGTTGATGACCATTGATGATCATCCTTGGCAAATCATAACATGGCATATCAGGTCAGATTCCTTGCAATTTTATAATATCAGTATCACTAATATTATAAATGGTCTCCCATCTTCCATACAGCGTCACATAGGCTTCCAAGGGAGGTATTTGTATATCCTATCTTTGGGTTACACCAATACCTGTCTGGGATGGTCTTAGTTTACTTGGTCCTGCCTTGGTGCAGGTGTCTGGACTTGATGACCTCTTGAGGCCCCTTCCAGCACAACGTTTCTATGATTCTGTCTTTCACAGAATTAAAGCTGAGAACTGAACCCCAGAGTCCTGCCACCAGAAGTCCTAATTTAAACACAAGAGGTGACATCCTGGCCCCACTGAAGTCAATGGGAGTTTTGTCATTGGCTTCGATGGGGCTGGGAATTCACCAAGAAAACACTGCACCTTCTTATACATCATTATACATTGATTAAAATGTCATGTTATTTATTCGAGGGAACAGTTCCTGGATATGACAAATGCTTATTTATAGATGTGAGGACAGATCCTCAGCTGGTGTAAACGGTCCTAACTCCATTGAAGTCAATGGACCTGTGAAAATTTATCCCTGTGGAGGATCTACTTGCTCCCGGTATTTTAAAGCATTGCAAGGAATGCTACTTGAGAGCAGAATGGGGAATACGAAATGTGGATTCTATTCCCAACTCAGATATTGACTCCCTGTGAGAGGTTGTGCCTCAGGTTCCTCATCTGTGAAATGGGATTAATGATACTCCCCGACCTTTGTAAAGTGCTTGAAGATCCTCGTATAAGGGTTTTTTTTCTAGATGCATAATTTTTAATATTTCAGATTGACCAACTATTTAAAGAAGATAGTTTATTTTAAAAATTGCCTTGAAATTAATTTGAAATGAACGAGACTGACTTTATAAATGAGACTTGTATCTCATATTGATGTAATAAGCATTTTGAAAAAAGGAGTTACCAATATTACTCCAGTGTTCTGGCAGCATTCTGACGTAGGTTCTACATTCTGCCCTCTCACACTGTGCCTGTAATTTCAATTGGATATACAATTCTTCTGCATTTCCTGCCCTAAAGTGTGGTATTCTCTGCTCCACAGCTGCCTCTGTCCTCTGCAGAAATGGCTGTATTTCTGTGTGGGCACGCTTCCAGATGAAAGGAACTATACATAAGGTACTAGTCCTGTTTTGTTGTTATTATTATTATTGCTGTTTCATATTTAGTTTTCAAAATGTCATAAGTAGAAAGATGCAGTGTAGTTGTAGCCATGGGGGGTCCCAGGATATTAGAGAGCTAAGATGGGGGAGATAATAACTTTTATTGGACCAACTTCTGTTGGTGAGAGAGACAAGCTCTGTGTGGCTGGAAAACTAGTGTCTCTCCCTAACAGAAGTTGGTCCAATAAAAGATATTACCTCCCCCACCTTGACTCTCTGATAAGTAGAGAGAAGCTAGTATAGAATAATTACTTTTTAAAATGTTTTATATATTTTGGAGTGGGGGAACACATATTTTTTTAAATGTTGTTTTAAATAAATTGCTTTCTGGATTAGATCTGGGATGCCAGCATCTAACCAGAAATGAATGTTCAAAGCAGAACAACAGACCCTGTTGCATTCAGTTCTGAGCCCTTATTACCAGAAAGATATTGACAAACTGGATGGAGTTGGGAGAAGAGCAATTCAGAAGTGGCCAGGGAGCTGGGGAGAATGATTTAGAACAGTGGTTTTCAACCTGTGCTCCACGGACCCTGGTGGTCCACACACTATGTCTAAGATTTCCAAAGGGGTCCGCATCTCCATTTAATATATTTTAGGGGTCTGAAAATGAAAAAAAGGTTGGAAGCCATTGATTTAGAAGATCAAAAGAGCTAACTATGTATAGCCTGGCTAAGTGATGACTAAGGGGATGTGGTACATGTCTCAGCATTGAGAAAGGATGTTTTGGACACCCTTCAAGGCTGGGGAATAGCTGTATTGGGGTGTGCCGGGGTATAACTAAGAAAAACGGGATGAAATTAACAGAGATTAACACTTTAGAAATTAACACCTTAGAATCTAACTAGCATCAGGCAAACAACTTGCAATGTGCAGCTGGCATCAATGTGTAACTGGCGTCAGCCAGGAGCTTACAATGTGCAGATGACACCATATACAAAAACACATGCATCAGGCATCCTGTGTGCAACCACTCTGTGCTATGCAACTGGCATTGTGTGTGCAAACACCTTGCACGGTGTGTGCAAATGACATTGCATGTGCAAACTCCACCTTGCACTGGGCAACTTGCATTGCACTTGCAAACCCTTTGCACTGGGCAACTGGCATCACGCGTGAAAATGCCTTGCACTGGGCAACTGGCATTGTGCATGCAAATGCCTTGCGCTGTGCGTTCAAAGGGCACTGCGTGTGCAAACACCACCTTTCTTTTTTAATGGAGATATCCCATCTCCTAGAACTGGAAGGGACCTTGAAAGGTCATCGAGTCCAGCCCCCTGCCTTCACTAGCAGGACCAAGTTCTGATTTTGCCCCAGATCCCCCAGTGGCCCCCCCAAGGATTGAACTCCCAACGCTGTGCACCTGGCATCGTGTGTGCAAACACCTTGCACGGGGCAACCGGCACCGCGTGTGCAAACCGCTGCAGCCCGGCACCGCTGTGCGCCCCGCGCCGTGCACCGCCCGAGTGTGCCCGGAGCGCAGCCCGCCGCCCCCTGCAGACCGAGGCGGCCGGTGGGGAGCTGCGCATGCGCGCCGCTGCCCTCCCCTGGCGGGGGGCGGCCCCAGGAGGCTCCGAGCGCTGGGTCCGGCGGCTGGGGAGCGATGTGGGGCGGCTCCCGGGCCCCTCCCCGGGCACGGACCGGCCAGAGACCCCGCCCGGGCCGCGCCCTGGAGCCGCCGGCCGCGTGAGTGAGCGGGGGGGCAGCGCCGGGGCTGGTGGGGGGCACTGGGGCTGGCTGGGTT